TTCTTCATTGCCATTATGTCTATTTCCTTTACATTGCTTCCTAGTGTTCTCTAAATTCCCATCTGAGCTTCTCCAGAAATGTTTAGAGGAAGAGACCTCAGCAATGAGTGTCTCCTTTTTCCCTCCATGATTGCTCAGGAATTGTGCAGACTGTTAGGGCAATGGCATATTTCTAGGGCATTTTATATTTCCAGTGTCTTGTCAGAATCAACAGGAACCTAACATTCTTCCAATAGAAGAAGCTGAAAAAATTGAATGTTCCCCTCATCATCTTAGATGAGATCAAATAGGAAACTATTGAGCATCGTCTTTCCTTGAGGAGGTACATTGGCAGAGACAGCTCTCTTTCATTTACCCTGAAAGTTGCCTTGGAGGTTGTTCTGAAACCAGGTTTTGTCAGGGGAAATACTAAACTTACTGTACTGATAGGAGTTAATGTCAGAAGTTATGCTGATATGTGACTGTCTCCCTCTATTTTTCAGTAGGATTCTGAGCCATCACATCTGGTCACAGAACCTGTGACTACTTTGGAAAGGAGATACCTAGGTGGGACAAGAAGATTTATACTCCAGTAACTTTACAATTTACTGGGACTAACAGCCATTCTTTCCTGGCTACATATAAACCCACAACACTTGACTGACTTTCAGTGCATGCCTTTCCTTTTCTAGCTTCTTACCAGTCTTAGGAAAGACACATAAGCACTGCTGTCTCATCATTAACTTAAGAATGGAACTTTGGGATTTTTTCCTTTTCTCATCCCACCATTTAAAATTCTTGTTAAAGGCTTAGAGAATTTTTTCTCTCCCATTACTAGGATACCAGCTGAATAGCCCAAGGATCTTATACGCACACTATTTGATGTTCTGGCTAAGTGCTCAGTGCTTTATCATTTTATAGAATAATGCAAAGTAGAACTGGAAAAGGTCTTGAGAAATTTGACCCTTTCTTCCTCCAGATGAATCACTGTCCTAATCTCTAGTTAACAAGGTCATGCTCTTCTATTCTGCCCTAGTGAGTACTAGTTTATGTAAAGTAGAACTTGTAAAGGATGGCTGATACCACACTGATCACTGCTTGAGATCGCTACATGGTACATACCTTACCTAACGGAATGTGGAACAGAAAACAGACATCCTCCTATTCTGCTTCATATAAAATGAGTGGCAAACGGCAAAACATCAGACTAATTGTAACTATTGAAGTGTATTCACCTCAACATGTCCACTCCTGCAATGTTAACTTGTATCAAATACTATGCCTTTGCAAGTCTGTTAGGAAAGTTATGTAATGTTGGATTGAGGATTATTCTAATCAGATGGAATCTGCACATGACCCAGCCATGAGCACTTCCTTTTCAGCCCAAAAGAATCCATTAGATGCTCTGCAGCAGAATGGAGGTGGAAGAGGGTGTAGTAAAGGACTGCTTAATTAATACTGATCTAATTTATCTATCTTGTCAGGATGTAATTGTCTATATCATACAGAATTTTGGGTCTGCTTTCATTTTTGATTCTTTGTTTTGAATATAGGATACTTTCTGTCTCGTGACGTCATAAGACTACAGCCTCTTAAAACATGCAAGGGCCCCATCAGGATTGGGCTGTCAAGAAAGGCTCAGCTAAAGAAGCTTCATCCTTATCTGAAATAACTTCCTGGATTCTTTTACCAGCCTTCACATCTGGGATCACTCTGCTTGAAAACTGTTGACATGTTTTAATGTTAGTTGGGGTTTTTTTTGGTACTTTGATCTGTGTGGTTTAAGGGGTTTTTAGATATTAATGTTGCAGCATTTTCTAGTGATTTATTTAGGAATACTCCTGTGAGTACTTGATAGCAAAGGGATTTATAATGAATGTTTACTAGTAGAAGTTTTAATGGAAGGGTGAATTCCTTTTAAAGTTTATGTAATATTAATAAGATCTGTCATGTATTTTTCATCTATTAAAATATACAGTTGAAATTTTCTGTCACATCTACACATCCTTGGAATCCTCTGTGTATTTATGTAGTTTTCATAAACATTCAGTAAGCAATAATTCAGTAAGTATTTTTAAGGAGATTTGTTAAAAATGTTTAGAGTGATATAGAAGATAATTTCAGGAAGTTAAGTTTAGACTGCTAAAAGGAAGATTAAATGTTTTAGGCTTCAGAGGTTGTTTCCTCTGAAGTACTTTCAGTTCCATGTACTTGTCCTGTAAGACAAAGAGTTGGAAGAGAATAAAGCTATAAATGCTACGGACAGGTTGTCTCATTCTGAGGGGACTGATTCCACGCATACAGCATGGAGGCAAAATAAAAATGCATAAATTCTGGAGATTTTGTGTCTTGAGAAATGCGGACACGGGCTGCTCTGAAGCATGCAGAGCTTGTTAGGGACATCTGCTAATTGTTAATATACTGACATTTTTGTTATAAAGAGTAGGGACAGTTTCAACTGAATAAAAACATAGCAAGAAATAAACCCGTGTGAAGTCTAAAGAAAAATTCCTGAAGTGTCAGAAGAAGGGTAATCTAATAACAGGTGCTCAGAAGAAAGCTTTAAACCCTCTGTGATTGCACAGAGTTTTTTTAGACAGAGCACATTTCACCCTGCAGTGGATAAGAGTGTATTCTGGTATAAGAAATGTTACAGAACAGTGATGGAATTATGATAAACCCCTATAAATATAGTAATACATAGATGCAGCTGACACAAGGAAACTGAGCAAGCTGAATTGATAGGGAATTTATCCACAGATAAATCATTTTATAGAATCTCTAGCAACAGTGCAAAGACTAAGTATCTTCACAGTTTAACTTCTTTAGCAGTGACATTCAGAATATATCACATGTAATACTAAGCATATCAGTATGTTTATGCTATAAGGATCCAAATAAGAAAAAAAAATCAGTCCACAGTATTGAGAGAAATCAATGAAACAATAAAATCTAGGAAAAGAGATAGAATTTGGCCCATAGCTCCTTTGGTATGAAATAGTAACAATCTCAGATTAAAATTTGTTTCTAGAACAGCTGGTTCTAAAATGGGTTTCTAAACTGACCTGTTGATCACAGTTTGTCCAAAAGGTACAGTAAATGGTGTGCACCTAGTTTAAATTTTAGTTTGAATTTTAATGTAATTTTAAACAACAAAAGTTGCTAACTTTTCCACTAAAAATTGGATGATGCAAATATAAACCCATTCATGCTAATGGAATGCATAGTTCTGGGCAAGACATTATCCTTCATCAGTATAGCTGATTTATGGAAAAGTTTAAAAGGGCTAAACAAATGGACAACTAGGACACATGTTCAGAAGCAGCTCTAGGAGGGCAGGGCCATGAGACAACTCCCTTGGGAGTATGGATGGATGGATGGATGGATGGATGGATGGATGGATGGATGGATGGATGACTTCACTGCACCTTCACCATCAGCAATAGACATCTCTCTCTCAGAGAGGGCATCGCAGGGTGACACTGCAGAGCAGCCTGAGGGTCTATGGATGGTAGCAACCTCTAAATGTCAGCTGAAGCTTGTAGAGGAATTCTGGTTTCTCACTGCTTTGCAAGAAATATCAACTTAAGTTTCTCTGGATCCCAGCAAGAAGAAGCTGATTACCACCCTTTAACTAAGTGTTGTTTATTGTGTACTGGCACAGAACAAGGGGAGCTGGTCTATGGGCATTGGAATGTCCCCTTGGAGTTTTGTACTCACAGCTGCGCAAGCAGTTCTCAAATGCTGCCAGGTATGAGATGGCTGTCAGGCATGATGTCTTATCAATAGCTTCTTTAGGTCCTATTTGTAAAGGATGATGTTTAAAGCAGGAGGATTTCTTACAATTTGGGTGTGATACTTCTGTATTTATAATCCATTCTATGAATTCTTTGAGAAACCTCTTTGTGTCATTTTCCACAGAGATATCTTTACCCCATAATTTTCCCATATCCTCTTGCACCATTGTACTGTGATCATTAATGACATGGGGAATACAATTAAAACATTGCATTTTTAATAGTTGTGGGGAAGCTCTGATGGCCATGGCTTGGAAATAGGTGTATAATTTCTGTCCTAGCACATCTGTGCTCCCACTGTTCAGAGCATGGCAAGACCAGGTCTCAGCCACCTTGAAAAGCCACTAACCACAGATCTTCAGAGATCAGGTCAAGAATGGCAACCACAGCATGTGTGTCTACCAGCAGCTTCCACACCACAGGTTGAGCCAAGTTTGGAATGTCCATGGGTCAAGACCTTAAATGGCTACTATGGAGGCTTCATAACTTTGATTCCTAGTTAACAGTGTCCAAGAGACCCAAGAAAATGGCCTTTGACATTCTGAAATCAGTACATCAATACAAAGTCATGTATGGACATCATGTGACCCCACCAAAGCGTACTTGTAATGAACATTCACATAGGTAATTCTGAAACTGAAGGATAAACTGTTCCCTGAAATCCTTAGGCAGTTTTATTCTGCCTTATACACTTTGGGATGCCTGGAAACTTAGATTAGTCTAAAATCTGCAGAAATTAATATAATGGAAAGATTCCATGAAATGACCTCAGCATTGTTTATACAGCAAATCATCCTTCCACTGAGGAACACTTTTGCCTATTTTTAAATCATTGAACTCACCTGTTTTTAAAATGTATCTCTTTATTTGATGCTTGTATAAGAAAACACTACAATGCTCTTGTCTGCAGAAGACAGAGGTACACAGGCTACTTTTTCAGGACAAGAGATAAAGTCTTAATTCACTGAATTCATACTCAGTAGAAAACTTCCTTGTGTCTAGTGGTGCAGTTTATGTGAGAATGTCCCCAAATATCCTGGAAAAGATACTGGAAAATACCCAAACACAAAAAGCCAGACAATAAGCCAAACAGAACAACAAAAGCTGGGCTATGCAGAGAAATAGAATAATCCAGCTGAGATATTATGTAAACTTTATGTCTGACTGCTCATTCAGCTGGGCAGAGCTGCTAACAACATGCCCTCAGCTTAAATAACAGAGGAAGGGTTGGCACTGGGGATGCTGCCTGGTCTTCTGCCAGCTTCAGCTTCCCCAGCCACCGTCAGCTGGAATAGCTCAGGTACCTCGTTGTGCTGGGGAGCAGCACAAGAGCACTCAGCTGTGCAGAGAAGCGATGGAAGCTGGCCCCATTCCATGGACTTTGGGAGCTGCACGGGAAAATGCCAAGCCAAGATCCCGCCATATGTCTGTGCATATCTGATTGAAGCAGTATGTATAGATTTCGAATTTTTCCACTGCAGACATCGTTTCTGGTGATGTTTTTTTGAGTTAGCTAAGCTTGCTAATGCTGACTGTAACAGAAATGCAGATGTTAAGTGTCATTATACTTTAATAATTATGCAGGAAAGCTTAAATATAATTTCTGAATAATTTTATATCAGCTGCTAGAACAATAGATATAGTTTGAGCTTGTTTAATACAAAAGGATTCAATTATAGTCTACTGAAAACCTTGAATTCCATTATATCTACCAATACATGTGATTTTTTAATAAATAGTAATTGAATATATTTTTTTTGTCTGCCTTTTGAATGACTGGATGCAAAGTTAAAACTGCTCTTTTCAGTTTATTTTGGGTAAATGTGGGCAATTAATGAGTGAATATATGCAAGACTATTAAAATCCAGTTTAATAACAACACCTGTGTATAGAAGTATAGCTGTTTTCTCTGTCAGGGGATTGAATTGAAACAGGTAATGAAGTCCTGCTGTTCCTTCTACTATTGGGAGAAAGTTGCCAAAACGACTTTTTTCAGGGCAAGGTTTGGAGAAAGGGTTCAATGGTTGTATCTATCAAAAAGTTCTGCATTAAGGAAGATGGTGTCAAGGTATTTTGTGAATACACTTTACCAAGTTTCATATGGTTAGGAAGGAGTTATGCTCTTGGTCTTACAATTCAAATTCAGTTTGAAATTTAATTTTCTGCTCTCAGCATGGATATCCCATCATGGTATTCCCTCACACCACTGGAGAACGTACCTGCTGTTTTTCCCTAGCCAAGACACTGAGGTCACTTTAACTGCTGTGTTCCTGCTGAGCCAGAGGCAAAGCATTTCTAGAGTGTCAGGTAAACTATAAGTAAATTTTAAAAGTATTTGTTCAAAATTACTTTGGTCAATAATGGTTCAGGTGAAAATGTAAATAAGGGCACTGGTTTCAACATTTGTCCATTGACAGTCTGTGTGGTAGATGAAAGGTTGATAATTGTCTTTATTAACTGCAGCAATTTAACAAGTTATGTTTAATTTAATGAGAAAAAATATTTTATCATGATCTGATAAGATAATAAAAGTAAAGAGATGATTATTTTATAAAATATATACTACAATTTAGTACCATTTGGTCTGAGTCAATGCTACCATAGAAGTGAGTCCTCCATTATTTGAAATTTTCCCACTACAATGTCCCCTAAATTATGAAAATATTTTTAGCCAGGAGTTATAGTGACAATTCATGATAAATTATATTCAGGGTATGCACTAAGAAAGTTGTATAAAATAATCTGCTGTTAAAGCACTTTCTGTCAAAGCTTAAATATGCAGAAATACGCAAAACTTTACAAACAAATGTGAAACATAAGTGCATCAGCATGGAGATATATACACACACGTGTATAACTTACCAGATTTAAAGTATTATCAAAATGTATATGTTCTTATTATCAATGACAATTTGGAGCCTGTAACTCAACATGCTGGTGAAGACAGTGTTCAGAAGTCGTAACAGAGGTTACGGCTGTGTGTGGGGAGACAAGAAACAGATTGAATTGACTTGGGAAAGCCCAGTCAATAAAATAAGGTATGCCCTAGGGTGACCTGAATTGCCTTTGGGACAGAACTGTCTTCCTCCATTGATCAGTGGGGAGACTTAGGGCAAGCTTCTGCCACAATCAGTGCTCTCAACACACTGCAAGCATTGAAAAATCTTTTTTATCTGTTATTTGGACCTAAGGGTGCAAGAGTTAGCTGTTTAAAGTGCTCCCTAGCACTGGAATGCTGTTATTCTCAGGTCTGTATTCAAGCAGCATCCAGGATCTCTGCTCACAACTCACTGTTTACTTCACAATCTTGCAACAGATACTTGGTTTCTGTCCCAGAGGTTTTGTAATTCATTTTTATCAGTCTGTAAATGTACTTTTAGTTAATGCTTGCTACCATGATATTTAAAGGAGGCAAAATGAAAAAAAAATGTTTTTAAACAGAGCAATCTTTGGTTTATTTCTACATGATAGAAAAAGAAATCTTTCAATTTAAAAATATTTCTGCTTATTTGGAGGAGGAGAGGATGCTGATGGAATCATGAGTGAAGGGATGGATTACATGTATGCAACAGGCAAGGAACTGTCTATGGCAAAAACAGTGTCCTAAAGATAGATTGCACAAAGATCCATTGGAGATGGATTTTGAGCTTAATTCTTCTCATCCATTCCAAACATTCTCACACTTTTTGGAGAAAACATTTCCTTGAGAAAATGAATAATGTTTTATGTGACATTTGGGCCAGCTTTTTGTGTGCCTTGTCCTACATATCAGCTTGTTCTTTGTACCTCACTTTCTTCCCTCTCCTTAACTTCTTTTATACTGGGACTTTCTGAAGTTCTGCCACTATGGTAGAAAGCAAATAAAGTTAGATATGGCCACATTCAGCCCAGTTCCAGAAAAAATTCTCTGCTTGTTCTTGCCAAAGTTGTGAACTTACCTTGCTTGTGACAGACATGCACTGTAACTGAGCAGCTGTCACAAACTACTGGCCTTGTCCAATATTTTCGTTGTGACAGAGGTTCTTTGGCCATGGATGGGTGTGGAAAGGTCTCACAGTTGTTCCCTCACCACATTTCTGTAAGTCTTTGCTACCACGGGGGGCACTGAGTCACCCAGCTTTGAGATAGTGGGTAGGAATTGTTCTAAATATCAGTATTGTTAGAAATCTCCATTTCCCAGGGATCTGTGGAGTGTGATGGCCAAGGGAACTTGAACAAGACACTGACTTTGGAGCCATAGTCATAAGAAGAGTGCTGTGAGTATTAAAATATAACTCTGCTTTTCTTCCTATAAAGTGTTTGTGAATATTTCTGTGCTTATTTCCTTTTATGTGTGTATGTTTCTGTTTTACATGTATACTTTATTATTTGTTTTAAAAAAATCCCTGTCATTATCAATAATATATAAAAAACTTTTTGAGAGAAGGGAAAGCTGTAGAAAAATATGATTTGACATGTTTTCAGAAGATGATCTCCATTGACATTTTCCAGAAGAGGATTTATTTTCAAAGATGATGAAAACTTGAATTATGCTTGCATGCCATACTACACTGCTCTTCTTTTATCCCATAGATTTAGTAAGTTATTGCTTGAAATTAATTATAGGGTACAAAGATTGGAGCCATGAGAAATGAACATTTGAAAAAAATTCAAGACTGCTCACAGAACTGAAGACACAGCGCACGACATGTTCATCCTTGTGAAAATTCTTCCTTTGTAAGTGCTGTCAAGGTCAATGTCAGCTTGAATTCTTTAATGCATACTGTAAGTGCATGCAGATTAGATCTGCCCAGGGCAATTCCTATTTGTTCATCCAGCTTTTAAAAATACATGTTTGGGCTCTTCTATTAAAAAAATTTCCATTAAAGAAATCAGCAGTCCAAGATTGTATCAGGTCTTTCATTATATTTATTCTTCACCTACCTTTCATTTTGCCCCAGAAATGTATACAAACAAGTTTCCATCTGCACATTGCTGTATGTATTTTCACATTCAATAACAACAGCATAATGTATTTCCTGCATTTTCCAGATAAGTTAATGAAATTAGATTATGCAGGGAATAAAAATAGTTCAATGTTAGGACTCATTATGGGATCTTAATGTTTACTAAAATGCTGAACTAATAATACTGAACATGGAATTGTATTTTAATTGCTTTCATCTCTAGAATGAATCTTTACCTTCATGATCTTTGTTATTAAGGGCACAAAGTAATCCCAAGTGCACCAATATTTTATGCAGTCCAACTTATTTTATTAAAGCTGGTATTTTTCTGAAGCTTCCAAGGGAAAAGGGGGAGGAAAACAGGAGGAAGGAGAGAGAAAATAATCCCTCTTTGATATGATTTCTTAAATTGTGAAGTCAAATGTGAGTTTGTTTGGTTATTGAGAGATTTTAGGGCCAAATCTTGTACTATTTTTTGTATCAAGCTGTTTTTCTCTACTAGAAAAAAATATTGGGAGAAAATCTAAATCAGCCTGATTCCTAGAGATCCTAAGGAGACTCCTTAGAGATTCCTAGGTTCTTATGGATTCCTGGAGATATTTGTCTATATGACAGGGAGGCATGCGATGCTTCTGGGGCAATCATCAACAGGAGTAGTAGGAGTCTGTCAGTGTTTGCATTAGAATTTGTACAGTCATTTGTGCCTTTGCCCTTGGCAGTCTCTTTCAAAGAGCTCAGGAATGTCTCTGTAACAGCAGATGGACACTTTTGGACTGGTGTAAAAATCTGTCATAAATATTAACAACTTGTTCAGGAAAATTGTGGTATCAGAGGTTTTATATCACTGTCAGTTATTCTGGACTACTAAAGTAGGTGATATTTGGCTTCTTCCCAATTTGAAAACAATTGATATTGTTTCACTGGCACTAAGACATCTACATTTCAGGGAGATGATGACCTTACAAATATACCCCTTGATTGCCATGTTAGTAAGCAGCTCACTGTCTTCTGGCTATACTTTGGAAAAAACTGTGGTTTTTTAATGTTTAAACCACTATTTTCCGCTATTTCCTTCACACTCACCTCTCCATGCTGTGTTTATTGCTTCTGCTGGGCTGCTGCTGGTCAAGCTGACCCTACCATTGCCTCTTGACACTGCCAGGCTGTGGCACTGACTTTGGATCCATGGCAGGATGCTGCATCTGTTGCTACTGTACTTGTCTCCTTCTGTACTGTTGCAGTTCTTACAGTGCTTCTGTGAGTTACTGACAGTTCACATCGTACTGGTTCCTTACAGGAAAAGTGATCTCTCTTTAGACTGTGTAATAGGTTATTTTTTGGTTGGTGGCTGAGCCAAACTTGAAAAGTATTGCCTGAATTGGAGTTTTTTGGGTTTTTTTTAGATTTTCTTTTTGTAGTAGATTTATTTAGTTTTAGAGTTTTTCTCATAGCAATGGAAGACTGAAAAATAGTCATTGTGGTTTTTTTTTTCCAGTGGAGACTGTGTTAACAAAAGTAAACAATAGAAGTATGGCACTAGAAGTTAAGCACCAGTTGCAAAACTAGCCAGGAATATTGCCCTCAGTGAGTAGTCAGGACATTCATACAAAATGTGGGAGGCTCACATTTAAATCTTCCCTCAAGAAACATCACTTCTTCAACTTCTGCCTGCCTGATGCATGTTCTAGATGTCACATTGTGTGGGTGTAGCTTTACTCAGTCTTTCGACTGCAGGCATTCTACTTAGTGTAATTATTTTAATAGGAACTGACAGCTGCTTGTTCTACCTTCTCAAGAAGTGTGTGTGTAACCTGTTACATCATTCTCAACTTATGAATTCTTCTCCCTTGTGAATATTTGCACAAGAAGAAAGAGCTTCAGAAAAGAAACTGGAACCACTTATGTGAGAAAGCATTACAGCCACTGCAGGGGTCACATACCGTGTTCTGAGATACTGTTTCTCAGATCCCTATTGTTAAGTGCACACTGTGAAACTGCTGTTATCTCCATGTGACTTTGCTGAACCATAATTCCAAACGGTTTTGTTTGTAATAAATAAGTTTTTATATTCCCATGTCACTGAATTATAAACTGTGCAGAGAGTACAGTGACCACTGGAGCAGGACCTGTACATGTACCAAGAGAATTTGTTCTCCATCTTGCTCTCAGTAGCTAGCGTCAGTTCTTGAAGGAGGATTAGCTTCTGAAACAATGATATTAATAAAGAGTTGTGACTCCTGAATGAAAAAATTGACTCCTTACTGACTGATCAGTTAGACTACTGTAAATTGAAGTATGTGAAACTTAGTCTTGGTTTTACTGGAATCCACTCCACAGAGAAGTCAAATCCAAGTATATCTGCTTAGAAAAGTTATGATTTTGGTGTCATAATGGTATATTACCTTTTGAAAAGCTTGCAATATGTTCTTAACTAAGGAGAGTCTCCAAAATTTCTCCTTGTTTCAGTCTGATAGTACAAAAAATGAAAACTCTTAGGCTTAGCTATAACTAAACAGGGGATGTTATACCAAGCCATGCTATTTCTGCTCACTGTCATGATGCTCTGATATTTGCTGCTTAAGGTTATTTTCCCAAACCACTTTTGAAAACGCAAGCTGTGGGATAAATCTGGGTCCAATGCATTTTCACAGGCAGCACTCTTTCTCTGTTCAAACCACAGCTCTCTTCCAGCACCAACTCATCCATTCAAATGGGGAGACTAAGGTGATGAAATTGAACAAGTCCCATTATGAAGCATTATTTTTTCTTTTAGTGCTAAGAAAAAAAAGTTTGTGTTGAACGGTAATTCCTCTAGCCATGAAGCAGAAATGCAACTCTCCTTTAAGGTGCTCCTCTCATGAGCTGAGCTGTCTAAGGAAGTAAAGGGCCTCTTTTTTATATTTAGTCCAGCAATATCAGCTGAAAAAACACAGCATTTGGGATTATATCCCATGTATGAAATTGTGCTAACTGACTCTATTAGAAGCTTTCTCTCTCACACTGCCTTCATATTTAATTGATTTAGAAAATTAATTTCAACTTATCTTTTCCTTTCCTTGTATTTCTTACTCCACATTATTATTTTTGTCCAGAAGGAAGTTCTCTTTTCATTTAGCTTTTATGGAAACATTTTAAAACTTTTTTTTATTCTTTTTGCCTGTATCAAATGTTTTTGTATCCACAGTTAAAAGCTGTGCTGAACTTGAACTAGTCTTTTGGAAACAGCTGAAATTATAATTTATTATCAGACAGAATGTAATTTCTCAGACCATTATTTTTGTTATGAAGACTGGGATAAAAGTGATCTGAGTCTGGACCCTTTCTCAGAAACTAAGGGGGATGGACTGGTTTATTTATTCTCTCATTTATTTTTCATGTAGAGCATATGTTTGTGCTTATTTCCTGAATCTAAGAATCTAAGACACTCTGGTAGAAAGTGTTACTTTCTATAAAGGCAAGGAATTAATGATGTCCATTTAACAATCTCCCACAGAGGTTATGTGTACTGATGTCCTCCGTCTCTCGTTGAATCAGGCTGAGGTGGGTAATTCTGGACTTTGCCCTGGCAGTATTGGCACCCTCCAAAGGGCCTGTTCTGAGTGATGATCATCCTTCCTTGGGGATAAACACAATTATTATAATGATAACATTTACATAACATCATCTTGGGAACCCAGAGCAAGGCAAACTTTCAGAATATGCACACTTGTATTTCTTATGGTGCTGTATTATTATCTGTTTCTTCATATCAGTTACAGGATTGCTGCCATCAATAATGACCTTGTATGAAAATTATGAGTAACAAGATGATAAAATTATTCAATATAGAGCTGGAAATCATACAAACAGTCTGAAAAAAAGAAGGGGGATAAAATAGATATCAGGCAAATGTGATTTCAAAATAGAGGCTCTTATTAATCTTTCCTGAAGAGTAAAACTCAACATCTTCACACAAACTTCCCAAAAGTATATGCATTCTGTGAGTGTATTGTTTGGCTGAAGAGAGCAGTGTACTGTGCTGCCTGAGCATCAGGCTGTGCTTCCCGACTGAGAGCAGATGTGAAGCTGCTTACGCTGTTTGGAATATTTTTTGCATAACACTGAAATCCAGCAAAACAGAGGAATATTCTGCAATAATTCATCTGTTCGTAGATCCGCACTCTTCACAGATCTGCAATCCGCAGATGTCAGCCACATGAAATCATGTTTAAAATAGGAAAATAATAGTATTGAGCAGATGAAGATAGCTGGTACGATCCAGCAGGTTATTGTACCAAAATTTTCACCTGACATGTCATAAAGTAT